GATACGATAAAACACGATACGATAAAATATGTATACATTATGATACAGTAGGCTACGATACGATATAAGTCGATACAATATGATACGATATATCGCGATACAATATAATACAATACTATAAAATACGACATGATACAATATAATGTGATATATGATACAATAAGATACAATATGACACGAATAATGAGATATAACACAACACGATACGTTACGACGCAATGCGATATGATACGCTAAAATTCGACATTATACGATATATCATACGATATAATACAATACGATAAAATACGACACAATACGATATCATACGATATACAATACGATACATTACGATATGTTACAAAGCAATACGGTATGATTTGATAAAACACAACATGATACGATAAAATGCGACACGATACGATATCATATGATATAATACAATACCATACACTACGATATGTTACGAAGCAATACGACACGATACGATATAATACGATAAAAGACGATACGATAAAATACCACAATGTAAGGCGATATGATATAAAGCGATATGACACTATAATATGATACGATACGTTTTAAGTTAAAAGGTGTGATGTAAGTGCGGACCACTTGTCACTCAAAAAGCCCAAAAAGCAGCACATTAGATGTAAAATAGCCTCTCAGACCGACACATGTAACCCTCCCAACACCAAGAAGCTTCCAGACGTGTTCTTTATGCCCCGGTCACATTTTAACCCACCGTGGTTCCATCTTCCACTAAAGTCCTGCACCTCCATGACTCCAATACCGCTAACACTTTATTTACTTTATTTTTCCAACGTGTCTCCCTGCTTGTCTCCGATCTGCTCTGCTGAAACATCACGTTCATGTTTTTTAGAGAATCTAGTTATTGCAGAGTGATTATTATTGACAAACTTTTAAATAAGACACCTTTATCTGAAATATCGCTAATTTCAGCTTAGATTTAGGTTCTCTGACAGACGGCACAGAGAGAGGAGCTGAGGAGCTGACGGAAAGTTGAACCTTCTGTCTGGTTTTGTTAAACAGATAACACGTCTCTCAAAACCGCCGGTGGGTTTTGGGGTTCAACAACATCAGCGTAAAGTCGCTAAGAAGTGAGGAGAAAAGCATTGTTATCTCTGACCAGATGCCACATCTCAAAAGCTGCAGCTGGATGACTCACTGTAATGCCCACCTCCACATCTATTTATAACGCCGGCCGCAGGGCATCGGCAGCGCTCTGGTTCCGAGGCAGGAGCCGACTCCACCGGGTCTGAAGAGGCTCCGGGGTTTCAGGAGCTCATTAAAAGACCCAAAAGCTCTCCTGGTCGGCCTCACGCGGGTGGAAACCTCTGCTGGAGGGACGTGGGTGCGATCAGCCGGCGCTCTTCAGCGTTTTCAGGATGCTGCACGGGTTATCTGAGGGTTCGCTGTTCGTTGATAAAACTGAGCAAACAAAATAATGATGAGGGCCTAAAATAAAATCCCCTCCAATGCATCAGCAAAACTCTCGTTTTAATAAAAGCTCCTCAAAGGTTCCCTCTCTGCTAAACAATCGCTGCTCTACATTTATTGCACGGTCGCCTCCGTCCAGAGTGAATACGAGATACGATTCGCTTCTTGGTTTTTTGTTTTATTTAACCGCCCAAATCCGTCTTTATATAGAAACCAGAGAGTGAGCATCACTCTGCAGCTTCATGTCATCATCGCTCTCCGTTTCGTCACCTCTTCCTGTCTTCATCCGACCAGTTTCCAGCTGTGGCGCTTCAGTTTTATCCCTCGTGTGTGTTCTTTGTTCTCACATTGTGCTGCTTTCACGTTTTTAGTTCCCTAAAATCTCATGATTTCGCCTCGTCTGTCCCATTCGTCTGTGAATCCCGGCTATTTTTCCTAAAATTCAAACATCATCTCTTATTAACGGTGCTGATAATGAGGATTTGAATAAGAAAAGGGAGCGCTCCCTTTCTCTCTCGTCAGCCACTCGACTCCTAATCGCCTCGTCGTCATTATGCCACAGCTGGCCTTCAGCTCGCTCCTCAGGCAACGCTCACTTCCTGCTCTCGAACGCTTCCTCCCCTCCGCCAGCCCTCCATCGACTTCCTCCCGCTTCCTTTTAATTTTGCTGCACACTCGGATGCATTTGGCCGACTGATCTGGACGAACATCTGAGAGACTGACCGTCACAGAAAAGAACGTCGGCAGCCTTCCAGCATCGATCGTTTTCTGACTTCCTGTCTTCATTCTGGGTTTAACTTATTTACTCCAAACCAACAGACAACGAGTCAAAGAAGTCGTCAGTGTGGCTGCGTTTAGTTAAAATGACGGCTGCAAATTTAAAAAAAATGTCCCGACAGTTAAATGAAGGAAACACAGCGGACGTTTTCCCACAATCTGCTGATAAAACACACCTAATGTTCACCTAGAAATCAGCTCGGCTACTTTACACACCTACAGCAGAGCTACGAAACAACAGGGTTCTGAATTAAAAAGAAGAAATCAACTGGCCCGACAAAATCCAATCAGAATCTTCCACATTAAATAACCTGTAGCGGTGTTAATCTTCACAATAAATTAAAAAAAAATTAGTTGATCACTTAAATGTTGACCAGACACCCAGCTTCTGGCCCCTGTTAGCGTCTGAAACTCCTAGCTTAGCATTAGCGTGTGCCTCAGGTAGCTAGCTAAACCGCACCACCACGGTTTGACATGTTGACACGCTCGCTTTGTGCAACCCCAAACACGCCTGTAGCTCCATCTCAGCAAACAGGAAGTGGCTCCACCTGGTGGCTAAACCAGGTACTACGGCTAATGGCACATATTTAGTTGTACTATGAATCAATTCAATCAATAACAACAATTATTGATGCAAGTTTTAAACCTTATTTTAACATTAGCTCCTAAACTACCTGAGAGCTCATTAAGCGCCTCAGGACACTTTTTCATGGTTGCATGAGAAACAAACTACAATTCTTCCTGTTGCCAACATGTACTGTAGTTTCAACAGTAAGAGGCTCCACCTGGTGGTGCAACCGGGTACTACAGCTGATCTACGTCACACTGTCTGACATGCACGTCCTTCGTCGTCCACTTATCGGTAAGAAAAGAGCAGAACGCAGGAAAGATCGAGGTGAAACTTCCTCTCATTTATCTGTCGCAGGAATCTTCTCCTGTGTTCGTTAAACCTCGGAAGAAAAATCCAAAATCACAGCATTTATCAGAGCCACGAACTGTAAAAACAGAAGCTGTCAGATCAGAACTTTTGGTTTTGTTGGTAAAATTAACTAAATCTGAGCTTTAAATCTTGACTTTTTATCAAAATCTCTTTATTGTGTCACTTAAACCCGCCAGAATAAACTTTTCTGATTTCCAGCACACTAACCACTGCGCTGAACACATCTCTCTACGTCTATTCATGGTTGTTCTGCTTTTGTAGAGGTGCAGGACTTATTGTTGCAGTGAAAAATGAGTCCAAGAACCAAAGCATTCAGCTTTCTGCTCTCAGTGTTGGACTGCTGATGTACCTACAGGGGCTGCATGAATCCGTGACGGATCTGGTTTTGTCCTCACCTGGAGGTCGGTCAGCAGGTTGCTGGTCTCTCGGACTCGGGCTCTGGTGGCGTCGAGCTCGATCTTGAGTTTCTCCTGCGTCTCCTTCAGGCAGCTGATCTGAGTCTGAGCCGAGCCCATGTTCTGTTCTCCTTCTCTGACCAGCTCCTGGAGGTGGGACACCTGAGGAGGGAAACCACAGGCGTCACGTCGCCGCCGAACACCCGGCGTTTGACCCGCAGGACGCTTCTTACCTCCTGATTGGCCATGTTGAGTTTGGCCGAAAGCTCCTCCTTCAGGTTGTCCAGCTGCTGCTGGAGTCGATCCCGCTGCTCCTCCAGCGACAGACGCTTGATCTCAAACTCCTGACTCATTTTCTGCACAGGAGAAGGACGGAGGACGAGGAGGAAGGAGGCAAGGAGAGGAAACAGGGGTTCATTAGTCATCGTCCGTACTACCGTGGTGCTTGAAAACACAAATAATCAGACTGTGTATTCGCTGTGTTCCTCTGAAAGCATAATCTCTGAAAAAGGAGGAGAGTTAAGAAGCTGTAAATCCCATTTGTGGCGTAATAAGGACGGATGGCAGCAGCTGAGTGTGACGCAGGGCGGCTGAATGAACGAGCGACACGTGAGTTGTCATTTACACTTAAAAGGGCGTCTCGTCAAACCGGAACGCTTCCATAATCCTTCAAACCACAGCGTCAAATCCTCTCCAGGCCACTCCGAGTTTCTCTTGTGGAAATCTCTGTTTCCGTCTATTTGTCTGCTTCTTAGCCTCTATTCATCCCAGATATCGCTGCTGCTCTGTGATGCACAAAAACCCCACTGAGCTGTGTTTGTGTTGCAGCGTCCTCAGAGGCAGGTTTCTGGTCACACCGAGTTCACTCTTTCTTTGCAGATATTATTAAATTT